TTATCGGTCTCTCTAGTCACCTCAGAACTCACCAAAGAATGTGAAATCCTTCATAACTCATATCATTGTCTCATAGCTGGATGATCGTCATACTCAATTCCGAGTGACAACAAAGTAGTAATAGTGTGTGTGTGGAGCAGAAACATGAGCACTGAACACTACTATTATCGGTGCCCTGTTCATTTCGGTGAAACTTAGTACAATAAAGTGAATACTGTACAGGCATCACGTAAATTTTTGCTCCCAAACCCAGCTTATTTCACCTGAAGATTAAACACCCTAACGCTACAAGTGGGGGAGGTTAGGTTAAGTTCGGTTCGAATTCGGTTAGTTTTTGATAGGCTAAAGTGTTAGGTTAAGTGTTATGTTAGGTTAGGTTAATGTCAGGTTAGGTTAGATTGGCGTTAGGTTAGATTGGCATTAATGGTTTAATCATCAAGTGAAAGAAGCGTGGAGAAAATGTTCAGGTGGTTAGGTAAGCGCGCGTAAATAGTGGTTTAATCAAGTGAAATAAACGCGGAGGCAATCTTCAGGTGAACCCATCTAGACACTTTCATGTTATAATATTACGTACATTACCGTATTCTTTCGTTATCTTATGTTCTGTAAAGTGTAAACCAAATGACCCGACAGATGTGACTTGCTTGCCTCTTCCTACACAAAGTGACTAAAGAAACACCCTAGCCTGCAAGTTTCTATTCACAAACTTCCATTCATCTCAAAACCACAAGGACCTGAGGGTAGTTCCTGATTGTTAGGGTAGGGGGATGGAATGGGTAGTAGGCAGCTATCAAACAGGGAGGTACTATCGCCTGGGAAGATATTGGAAGTTTAATGTGTTGACTAATGGTAGACCCTGCTGCTATGTGGCATTACGAAAATCGTGACCAAGTTCCAGGTTACTGATCTGACTTTCTGCTTCATTTACACACAATTGCAGGGTTTCAATTATTTCTCTTACTTTGACAACACAACATACATATATTGTTTCTCACCATTGATTTTTTTCTTTGTGGTTCTTTATTATTATTATTATTTTTATCATTATATTATTTTATTTGTTATTATATATTTTATTTACTATGAATTATTATTATTATTACATTTTCGCCCCCAGGCCCCGATGTGGGTCAGTGACCTGTGCCCGGGTGGCCTGATCCCCTTAAAAAAAAAAAAGCATAACGACCGGTCTCATTCTTTTCATCATCTATTACTGGTTGAACCCCGCGGCCGTGTTGACAAGATGGTGGTGAATATGTATGAGCATTTCCATCATTATTTTATATTATTCCTCGTCCACCTGGTTTGTATTTTGTGAATTAAAACTTAACACATCCGATGAAAGTTTTAAACGCGGCGTCACATTACCACTGTTTGCGTCAACTGGCTGAAATTGTTGAAAGACGAAGTGGTCAGCGAATACAAATGGTTAATCCAAAACTCTCCCTTTTTTTTCACGATTTTCATCTTTCTCAAAGCGTATCACTCAGATGAATCGTTTCCGCCTGCTTGGCTTGTTTGTACCAATTTCCGTGATCAAGTAGAGATCCACACCGCTACTGAATACTGAGGATAGTTATGTAGCAAAATGTCGAGCCATGTAAAATATTTAAAGATAACTTAAAAAAATATTCAGTACCACGTTTTCAATAAATTATAAGTTTATTATTTTTTGGCGAATATTTGTACATACATCTGATGTTTGTTTACATTTGGACGAATGGCAGTGTGACGACGTGCTCAGAAGAATAATCCAAGGTAAATTAATACAAGAAAAATGACTTAAAAGTGTTGTGAAACCGCCGTCTTGATTTATTTCTCTCCGGTACAGTGACAACACCTTGACTCACACTACCATGTCTTCCGTCCAGTCCCCGGGTCAGAGAAACGGGTGTTGTCCTGTATGACACTACCAAACACGGCAGGTTTCCTCCTGTACTACACTGGACAATTAAGGTCACAACAAGTAACAAAGAACAGACTAACCACCAGAAAGACTAGGTCAATTAGTAGTTTCAACCAACTACGTCTCTCTGAGTTGAGAAATGTGTTTTTCCGACGGTATTAGCAATTCTTATTCAATTTTCTAATATGAGGTTTCCATCGCAAATTACCTTAAATTGCCTAATCTTCTAACCAAGTGGCTCCGCCCCCCTGGATCCCCCAGTATTAAGTCAATTGTGAGTAAAACCTCATGGAAGAAGTGTCTTAAAATTGTTTATACCAACGGAAAAAATACATTGCTCAACTGGTGAGCCGTGGTTGGTGTTAACAACTTATTGACCAAAGACAAATTAACTGGTAAAAATATGACCTAACCAACCTACTTAACGTAATAAAAAATATCGCACTCGTGGCTAGGAAGTTGTGTATGTTTCTTTGGCTAAGTTGGTAAGATCTTTAACAACGCTTCTGCAGTTTGTTTTCCTCATCAACGAAGGTTAGGTTAGGTTAGGTTTAATTTAGAAGTAACCATTTTTTAACACAATTGCCATGATTACGACGGTGTCTACTATAATAAAACAGTAAAATTGCGGCATTTATAAATTCGTTTTCTATGAAAAATCATCGGCAGATAAGTCGTAAATCATTACTTCTAAAATGTTACCTAGAGAAGATATTAGTTGACATCTTAAAACACGGATGGTGACAAGTACTAACCTTGACCAGCGGGGGCCCCTCATCTGCCATCTTATTCATGTGAAGGCGTCTTCTGGGCCTTAATTATTCCCCAGTAGTCTCCCCTCTCACCTTAATATTAACGTGGGGATGAAATACACAGTCTTCAAGCAACCAGAAGCAATGTTACCAAGATGGCTGACTTGTAAGGTAAAGATTTTTTTTTTACCAGTATGAGCACTATTAAACATTTTCGGGGGTTCCTTTATAGTTAAGTTATGATAACATACTTTGATATAATTTATTCGTGCACTTCCATGTTAATATACTCACGTAAACACTTATAAATTGTTAAAACATATGAGACTTCCAGACATGGCTGTCACTTGGGAGGCAGACGACACTCAGGGCTCAGACTGGTACAGTAGTTATGAAATATGAATAACCTATTTATTTTTTATAGAATGGAAATTTAAGTAAAATAAGAATACAGTTATAATAAATATATATTATTCAAATACTTAAAATTACATTCATTTATTCTTGTTGTTAATTATTTATAAAACTATACACCTTTTAAAAGTAGTGATGTGTGCCGGGGTGAGGGGATAATGGTCGATATTTATAGACAAAATTTTAAAATCTCAATCAATATTAGAAATAATTTACTTGTGCGATATGTTGTCTTGTGGGGTACGGGATGTTTGGGTTCACACTCAGGATGGATGGAGAAAGGAAACTCACAATGTGCTCTCTGTATACATGTTGTATTGGATGTACAATGCAGCTTGGTGCTGGGAAGGCAGCATGGTTACAAGCGTGATGTAGAGAGAGCTGGTTGGTGAGGACGCCCAGAGGACAGCTTGTGGGTCGCCATGCTTGCCGGCGGGAGCGAGGACCGCCAGGCAGGCGGAGGAGGAGGTGTTGCTGGCTGGTTGGTGTGGGTAGAAAAGAGGGAGGTCACCACGAGGTCAGGTCTTAAATAGCGGGGGTAGGCGTGGCTTAGTAGTTGACCTCCGTCATGTAAGGCGGCGCTGGTTGACCTAGACCACGAGGCATACACTGTGGAATTCGCGGGGTCGGCTACTCAGCGACAAACAGCGTTTGTAGGGGAGGTATCCACTACAGTCTTTATTCTATAACGTAAATAACGTACTCGTATGCAAATCAAGTCTAATTTATAAAAATCACGGAAGTTTAAATAACAGTACTGTATATTTTTTGTCTTCATAAATTAACACCCAGGAATTACGGTCAGCACGAACGTTTCTACCAAAATACTTAACGACACTTCAAGTTTAATTTATTCAAGCCATTGCAGGTTTAATTTGATTCATTTCACCTTGAAAGTAACATGTTTCGAAGCTTGCTCTGTTCGTGATAGTTTCTTAACACTATACTTATATGTTAACTCCACACTCGACTTTCTAAAAGAGATAAATTCCAGGGGCGGATCCAGCAATATCAACACGGGGTCCACGAAGTTGTGGGTGGGGAACATGGCTAACAGCCCTCCCAGCTGGGGGGTTTTGGGGGCGCTGTAAGGCCCCAGAATTATTTTTAAACTGACCAATGTCATGGGCATTTTGAGGCCATGTGCACTTTGTATTAAGAGATATTCTGAAGTCAATAGTAATTACTGTTTACTCTACAAAAACGTCCAAATACAATAATGCACTAAAGAAAAAGTATTGGAATTTTCTGATGAAAAGTGGGGGTTCGAACCCTCAGGACCCCTACCCCTTCATCCGCCCCTGAATTTGTCACCTGAGGATGGTATTTGTGAGGAGTTTCTTTGTGTACGAGGAAGGGAGGATGACAGGATTGAGGGCGCCCTGTGTCGCTATCCTGCAGTCGTTAAAATATCCAGCTTACAATACAAGAGACAGAACTCCAGGCAGGTCCTTTCTCAGTGTATAAAGTTGATAAGACGTCACCAAGTCGTACAAGTTTCTTCAATTAGTGTCAAGAAGTTGTGGGAGGAGGGCTTTGTCTGCCACCCTACTGAAAGATACAGTTCTGGGAGAGTCTCTGTCTGTCTCACCTATTCTAGACATTTACCTGTATTTTTCCTTTATTTCTGTCAAACTTCGAAACACCTGAAGATTAGAAACCCCATCTTAATTTATCTTATTATTAAACACCCTAACGCGACCTGGGGGTTAGGTTAGGTTTGTGTTAAGTTAGGTAAGGTTGGGTTAGGTTGTTATATCTTGCATTAGGTCAGATGGGGTTAGGTTAGGTTAACCTTACAGTGGGTAATCATCGGGTGAAATAAAATGGAGTGTCAAATATTCAGGTAATCTCTATCATTGGCCAGGTAAAGTACTTCACACACACAGACCAATAAAATTTTGGATAAGAAATAAAAATAACCACACTGACTGTCAGACTTTTATTGTTAACATAAATAAATTACATAAAACATTGTACAAATATTCACATATATACATGCACAGGGACCAACAGCCTCACCACAACAAGTTAGAACTATTTACAAGAGAGAGAGAAACACACACTATCTGTTTCTAACACCATTGAGTGACGACAATGTGAGAATGGTAGAAGGACGACTACAACGACTCGGTCCTTACTTCACGACAAGAGGGGGGGGGGGGAACAAGAACGACTCAGTCCCTCCCAGACGACCCACAACCCACCCATGACATCAAGAGAGAGGTCAACAGGAATGACTTAGTTCCTTCTTCACGACCCCCTCAAGGACGACAACTTTAGGATGAGACGAGCAAAACGACCAGCTCCCACACTGAGAGAGAGAGAGAGAGAGAGAGAGAGAGCACGTTAGTAGAGAGAGTTATTAACGGTAGCACCACTTGTGTCCACCTGAACACCATCTAGCTGTACCAGGGCGAGTGACAGTCATATACCAGGACAAGTACCATGTCTAACTATACCAGGATATGCACCTGCCTATACCAGGACAAGTACCATGTCTAACTATACCAGGACAAATACCATGTCTAACTATACCAGGACAAGTACCATGTCTAACTATACCAGGATACATACCTACCTATACCAGGACAAGTACCATGTCTAACTATACCAGGATATGTACCTACCTATACCAGGACACGTATTATGACTACTTATACCAGGATACATTCCTATCAATACCAGGACACACTGTCTAACTATACCAGGACACACACTATGGCTACCTATATTAGGAAACATACCATGTCTAGTTATATCAGGACGTGTACCATGTTTAGCTATACTAGGACACGTACCATGTCTAACTATACTAGGACACATACCTTGTCTAACTATACTAGGACATGTACCATGTCTAACTATACTAGGACACGTACCATGTCTAACTATACTAGGACACGTACCATGTCTAACTATACTAGGACACATACCTTGTCTAACTATACTAGGACACGTACCATGTCTAACTCTACTAGGACACGTACCATGTCTAACTATACTAGGACACATACCATGTCTAACTATACTAGGACACGTACCATGTCTAACTCTACTAGGATACATTCCATGTCTAGATATACCAGGACATACTCAAAATCTATCCTACCACAATTTACATAGTCTACCATACAGAGATACGCACAATACTAAGACACGCATATCAGGACACGCACCAAATAAAAAAAAATCCACTCTTCAATATTGTAATACGTACTAAATCGGACACGCACCTATTCTATCATGTACCTAGAAATGCACTTGATGAGGATATGCACTGTATTTGGACACGCACCTATCCCTTGTAATAAATCACTTCCACAATATTTTTCTTCTTTACTCTTATAAACAACAGAAAACAAGATTATCAATTACCTAAATTCATAAATAAATACAAAAAGTCGTCTCCCAACATAATTTTGCCCTTTCAATTAATTATCATCAAATAGTAACAGTTCAGAATAGATTTTATATGTAATGTTAAATGATTAATTTTTATTCAACCTTTGTGATGTTTTAACCTTAATAAGATCTGTCTTGTGCTTGTTGGTAAGACTGAAGGTGTGTTATTTGTGTTGTGATGTGTTTATGTGTGAAAATGTTGTGTTATTTGTGTTGTGATGTGTTTATGTGTGAAAATGTTGTGTTATTTGTGTTGTGATGTGTGAAAATGTTGTGTTATTTGTGTTGTGATGTGTTTATGTGTGAAAATGTTGTGTTATTTGTGTTGTGATGTGTTTAAGTGTGAAAATACTGTGTTGTGTTATGATGTGTTAAGGGTAAAAGTGCTCTGATATTTATGTTGTGATGTGTTTAGGTGAGAGGAAATGCGATGTTAGCCAGTAATTACAATGTACGCACCTGTCTATATGTGAGCCAAGATGTCAGGTGTAGATGTTTGTGAAGATGAGAAATTACAACAAACACATTGGTTATGGCATTACCACATAATGAACACATCTCTAGTATTACCTTGACGTCAGTTTGTGTTTAATGTACATAATGAACACATCTCTAGTATTACCTTGACATCAGTTGTGTTTAATGTACATAATGAACACATTTCTAGTATTACTATTATATTCATCACATATTTAACAAACAATAACTGTATTTTAGTTTTCTGTCTTGTTAACTATGCACAACAGGCCATTAATCATCAACAAAATTATCTTAACATATCTGCCAGAGGTTTACTGTCAACTTCTGCAGGTAATCAAGTCTACTGTATTTTAGTCATAATACAGTATAGAATGTAATACAGTATCTGGTACAACAATGAAATCTTTAATTAATCCTGTCTTAATTTATGTCTAATAATAATCACAACAATAATAATAATCACAAATAATAATAATAATAATAATAATAATAATAATAATAATAATAATAATAATAATAATAATAATAATAATAATGATAAATCAATAGCATGGTCATTACAGTAGCTGAATAACATAACATACTGGCCTCAGAACCAGAAAGGAAGGGGCTACCATCACTCTTGCTATATGGTGTAAACAGAGGTCCAAATATATCCATCCATGTCAACATCTACAACATGATCGTACAGTACGATGTTAGCGAGATATATTACAGCTCAATAACATTCTTAATGATAGTACAGTAATTTGATTTATAGATATCTCATTTAAACTCACATACTCCCACACCACTACAGTTGACTTCCATCACCCTGGTACGCTAGACATGTTATTATGCTCTCGTATTTAAAAAAGGACATTTTAGCCAAGTTAAAACATGTAGTGTCATTTCCTAGTATGATACAGATGCAATACTGTACACACAAAGTCTTCCATATATAGTCTTCTCTCACACACACACACACACACACACACACACGGGTATAAAACACAGATGACGTCTAATATTAGTAATAAATTGACTACTGTTATATAGAAATGTAGTAAAGTGAGATTCTGTAAAAAGTCATCACTCATGTAGTGATTAAGGGTTTGTGTGTTTCAGGTATAATATCAAAGGTAAATCTAGTGGGGACAGATGGAGGAGGGGGTAGGGTGGTGGTAGGGGGCTTAAGTGTACACATCCCTACCCCCTCAATCCTGCCATAATAAGATCTAACAGACTGATCATGGAGTCAGCCCAATATTTATAACTTTTTTAATACAAGATCATAAAATAACATGGGATAAGACTTCTAAATCCCTGAATGAAAAGCATTTGGAGACATTTCTTTTTAACATATAATGAGGAAGAAGCAACAGGCCTCTCTCTTCTAGTTAAGTAACATCATTTAGCCCTCCGTCATACACTACACAGGGCTCCTCCTAACAGACATTTCTCCACTCCTGAACATAAACATGATTCAGGACATTATTTCCCTACATTCAGAGCCATAGCCAGGTTAATTTAAGGTGAGTGTGACAAAAATGAGGCAAGACATATATATCAAAAGTTGTTTGTGTTAAATTGTGTTCCTAATGGATGAACCAGATTGAATTGTACTGAAGATAACTGATAACCTCACTCAGTCTAGCTACAAAGTACATACAGTCTATGTTCAACAACTAACTATACCACTTCACATATGCAAATTGTTTCATAAGAGCTGGTTAATCCATCAGGCTCTTTAGACCCCATCTGGCTAAGGACCTGATGTTAACCAAGGGAGGGAAGAGATTCAATCATTTAGGCAATACTCAACATAGTGTGTATCTGGCGCTGTGATTCATATTAATGTTCACAATTAGCGTTAAATCCTCAATCTTTGGCAGGAACGTAACTTTCATACACCCATTACAAAACATTATATAAACAAACCTTTTTTGTTATTATAAAAAAAAGGGACAACATTCAATATCTTTTTTTTTTCTCAGAGATTCAGTGTTTGGACCGACATGACAAAGGCCAATGTTGCCCAGTGCCAGAACACGCGAGAACATGAGACGAACAAAAACAAAATGAACTGATTAATATATTATGCAGCAAGACGAGAGTATTCATAATATGCAGACATAAAGTATGAGATTCTTTAACTGTCTACTATAGTTAAATATAAACAATCACAGCGAATTATGTAATATCAAAACGAGACATTAATTAAAGATTACGTGAGTATCGTAAACATGTCTTAATCTCAAAGTATAAGTATCACGAAGTATTATGTTAATCTCAAAAGGTGAGTATTTCAGTATAAATGTTAATCTCAATTAAAAAAAATATCTATGTTAAAGATTTGTCATACTTATGTTTGGCACGTCACTATCAGAAATTAAATGAGATCTGGACTCCAAAAATGTCAAGGTTAATTATCAAAAGTTAGCATAATATTACATCTGAGAATGTTAGGCGTCTATATGGCCAACTTCCTGGCTCAACTTACACACACGAGAGACTGTCAGTACTCACGCCGTACATCTTCAAATTTACCTCAGATCCCGAGTACTGTATAATATATAACCCTTTGAGGATGATGGTTTGATTATTAACTCTCAGAGGGCGATGGTTTAAGTTATAACTCTTATAGGGCAATGGTTCGAGCTATAACCCTTTTAGGATGATGGTTTAATGTATACCTGTAAGTTATAACCCTTTCAGGATGATGGTTTAAGGTATACCTGTAAGTTATAACCCTTTTAGGATGATGGTTTAAGCTAAAGTCGTTCAAGAATGACACCATCATTATCAATAAGGTAAAAAATGCTTAGGGTTTTAAAGTTGACATGATTTTGTTTTTTGGGAACCTGTTTGTGTATGTGTGAGGAGATGTTTATAAGTCCCCCTTTAAAAAATAAAACAAATACTGTGCCAATTTTTAACTCCAACATCTAAACAAAAATTTAGGTGTTTTGGAGACATATATTTCACCATCACTCCTGAAAATTTTGTTAAGTTCTTAGATCCAAAGTTGGTGTTTTCACTTGCTGTCAGACCCCATAAGCAGCTTCACACAAGTACAAGTAAAGGTTCTAAAAACAGCGTCATGGCAACTTCAGTCCCCTAATAAGACCTCTTTTAATATAGCAGCATTTTTGAACCACCTAATATGACTTCTTCTAATATAGCAGTCCGGTAATGTCTTTGAACCTCCTAATATAACCTCTTGTAAGTTATAATTTGATCACATGTAGTTATAACGCCTATAATCATACTGGAATTATATATATACTCGTATGTATGATTTACCAGTTCACTCATCAATTGTTAAGCATGATGACTACTTATCACTCCAAGTACAGTGGTTCCTCGGTTTACGAACGCCTCGGTTAACGATATTTTGGTTAACGAATTACCTTCCATAAGAATCTTCACTTCGGTTAACGAAAACATTTCGGTTAATGAATTCCTTACAAATTTTTCCCAACATGTTTTCGCCTGCTTTCGGCTGCTCATCAACTGTACTATTAGTCCGCCAATACAGTAATCGGTTCTAGGGCTTAAACTCGTTTCCATTTGAGTAAATATCAAGAAGGTTGTACTATTCAATAATTTTCCAAGTCTGATATTAAAATTTTTAGTCATTTTAACAATTATTTAACATAATTGAAGTACAGGGAACTAGTTTTTAGCACGCCAAACAGCCACTTGACTCACCCGAAGTGGCGACAGTGTGTCCCAGCTCAGTGGAGGAAGCATCTTGCTTGAGACTCTCTTGAACATAAACTATTTTTACGTTTTTACAGTACAATTATTGGTCATTCTGAAGTTTATTTTACATATTGACAATATATTATACAGTGTAGTGTTGATTTGAAGAAAATAATCTTGAATTACACCAAGTGAACTAAAATTTTATGGGTGAAATGGCGACATGAAGCATGGGGTGTCTTCTTTTCCACCCCAATGCCTTCTCTTCTCCCTTCTCCTCCACCCCCACTTCTAACTCCCATCATCATCAACCAGGAATCTTCTACATGCACACCTCAAAGTAAGTGTACTTTACTGCATTTATTTTTAGTTTACGTAATTTTTGGTGAGCTGGAACCAATTACCCAAAATCCCATTGAAACAATGGTTTCGGTTAACAAAATTTTCGGTTAACGAACGACCTTCTGGAACGAATTGTGTTCGCTAACCGAGGGACCACTGTATAACTAAAACATTTATAATACAATGTAATAAAAATGTATATTTATTTTTCAACTAGCGATTTTCTGTTTGACTTCACGATTTTTTTTTATTCTACAACTGACATAAGAGTGTAGCGATTTTCTGTTTAATTTCACGTTTACTTTCTACAACTGCCATAAGAGTGAATCATAAAGCTTCGTCTCCAGGATAGTAAGGACGGTTGTAAGGGTTGTTGTTGTGGCCATTAACACCGTTGTGGTTGTTGGGTCTGGTTGGGTTGAGTGGCTGAGCGTCTTCACCATTCCTGGCCTGTTGTTCCGGACGGTGACGCTTGAAGTAGCCACACTGTAGGGAAGGGCCGAGACCTTGGCTTAATTAAATAAAATATAAAAGCAAAAAAAAAAAAAAAAAGAAAGAAAATCATAACAGAAAGCAGATCATATTTAAAGAGAATTAAATATACGAAAGATTTCAAAAGTATAAAGAAAAACAAACTGCTGCTCTACCTCACACGAACCATCTCTTGCACGTGGGAAAAACATAATTAAATAAACAAAATAATAATAAATAAACTAAAATTATATACAAATTCCAGTGTCTTTTTTTGTTTGCTATACTATTAAGTGCAAAGCAAGCGTTGCAAGAGGTGCACACTGCAGGACACTCCATGCATGCAACACACAACGTACTGTGAAATGAGCAACAGAAGAAGAGGTTGTAATAGTGAAAAATTTTTAGGCAGAGGCACACTTTGGTCGCCTCCGCTTGAAGAAACCAAGCTGGAAGGAAGGGGAGGAAACGTTCAGGTAAAAACATCAATAAACGAATCTTGTTCAGTTATTTTGACATCAATATACAATGTTGTCATCAATCATCTCTGTATTAATGTACACAAATATTACACACTATAAATACCAAAATTTAAATGAAATTAGTTCAATAATTCTAAATAGTGTATATTTCTTTATTACATTAAAAACAGTAACAAACTCCCAACCATCACCTTTATCATTACAAAAATACCCGTATACATTAATTTATTATGGTGTTGGTAGTTAAAAATTAATAAAGACCCATCCAATTAACTTTACATCAAGGTTCAAGGAGGAATAAATATGGTGTATATGATAGAGGAGAAAAGATGGTTGATGACTAACCTTCCAGAGGATGAGGATGATGATAAGGAGGATGAGGATGCCGGCGAGGGTGGCGAGGACGATGACCCACCAGGGGACTTGTGGGGCCACGTCCAGGGACTTGGCCGGGGAAACTGGGGTCATCACATCATGTGCCTGGACCTGTGTGAGTAGAGATGGCCGTCTGAAGGTGTTGATGCTACTACAACTACAATACTAACAATTTCTACTACTATTAACATTTTCTACTTCAATGTACTAGAGGAACTCATTATGTACTCAAGAAAGGTACTCACAGCAAGGTACTCAACAGATATTCACAGTAAGGTACTCAAGAAAGGTACTCACGGCAAGGTACTCGGGGTTGACACCATGAGGTAAGGACTTCACCCTAGCCACCATCCGACTGGTAATGCTGATGTCTTCATATGGGTACTGTTGGATGTCATGAAGGTCAGTGGGGCATGAGGTCAAAGGTCAGCAGGGCATGAGGTCATAGGTCAGCAGGGCATGAGGTCAAATGAGTGTCAGAGGTGTATCAGGTCATAGGAATACCAGCAGGGTTATGAGATGGTCAGGTCAGCAGCGTCCACATGAAGGCGTGATGGACGGATGGTTGCAGAAGTCCCAGATGAAGGCAGTGATGAGAGGACACACCAGGAACCATCCAACAGTAAGGCAATGAAGAATAAAAAAATAATACATTAGTGTGTTAAAATGTTTTGTGTGATGTATTTAAACAAAGAGTAAAAAAGAATAATGACAAAAATAAAAGGTGGTTTTGTCTACCAAGTTTATATTATGTTTTGGAGTAACAGGCATTGTGAATGTTGAAATATAATACTTTACATGATACTCTACATTATTACAGTACAGTATTTAAGAAGATAATGTGTTATGGATGTTGGATATAATACTTTAAACATTGCTATTTAGGAAGAGAATGTGTTATGAAAGTTGAAATATAATACTTTACATTTTAAGAAGACAAATTATACTACTGAAAATTTTTAGACAAAAGCCCCCAGGGTGGTGTTAAGGTTCACTATAACTAAACCCATTATGATAAACCAAACAAAAGATCTGAGCCTAAATGCCTCATGGTAGAACTTAAGACAAACAGAAATGGCAGATAATGTAAATGACACCTCTATTTACCGGGTACTTCTGATCTGGCAAGGTTGTGGTTGGAGGTGTAGAATAGCTGAGGTGAGAGTGGATCTGACATTACATTTACTCACCCTCAAACTCAAAACATTAATTTCTTCTTAATTTACTTTCTAATTACTTTACTTAGTTATTTATTACTTAACTTAAATACTTTTCTACTATATAACAACTTTTTTTTCCAGATTTTATGGATCAAATATAGTTTTAAAAAAATAATCTACTTTTCATTGTAGTGAAATTTATATGAAAAAAAAAAATCCTTGAATTTAAGGGTGAATTTTCTTTGTGTTCATCTTTATTACAAGACAATAAGAGATGCTGAGAAATAACGTCTTCCTGTTATTGTTTTCTCAGTGTTTGAACCACATGAGCTGGGTTTAGTTAAGCTGAACCTTAACCTGCCTCTGGGGCTTTAAAACCCTCAGATAATTAAACCCCTTTACAAATGTATACATAAAACTGAACCCCTATATAATGTACTTATAAAAATAAACCCCCATTACAGTGTATATATATAAGAATGAACCCCGTTGGTGTATAAATAAAACTGAACCTCGTTATTGTGTATTTATAAAACTAAACCCTGTTATAGTTTAAAATTCAACCCCGTTACTACGATGTATATAAAACTGAACCTCATTATAGTGTATACATAAAACTGAACCCCATTATAGTGTACCCTGTATACAAAAAAACTGAACCCCATTACAGTGCACTGTATGCATAACTTTCACAAAGTTAAATGAAATACTAAAGTGATTCGAGAAATAGTTGCTTATAGTTAACAGTTTGAGATAATGTATAGTATCCAATCATGCAATATGAGAGAGAGAGAGAGAGAGAGAGAGAGAGAGAGAGAGAGAGAGAGAGAGAGAGAGATATATATACACCCTTAGACAACCTCTGTATATATAGTTGTTGAGACAATACATCAACACAGAAGTAATAATTATACCATGCAGTCATTCCTCTCAGTTTATCCCTGGGTGAAGGTGTGCATCCTATCAAACCATAATACAACAACAGGGAGGAAGACTACAAGTGGATTAACGTCATTAGCATCGACTACAAACACTACAACCAGGTGAGGAGAGAGAGAGAGAGTGCAGGTGTAAATAAACTATAACTCTACCCATACAGTACTATAGAGGGAAGTAAACAGTGTAATCCTGTGTAGGCTCCTCCTCCTCCTCACTCACACACCACCAAAAACATCACAAAAAATGGTTAAAAAAATAATAATAATCACATCTTAATCTGCTACATAATTCCATCACCGATAAAAACATAACAAAAACATAATAAAAAAAGATGTTAGTATATAAACAACAGTAATATATGTTGTTCTATGATTAAACAATTCAATTAAGGAACTATCCCCGAGCTTTGGTGATCCCCAATAGCTTTTATGAAGAAAATAACACCTATGTTAAGTAACTTTTAATTAACCAACAGGTGTCATTTCAACTCTTAATTGAATAGAAATTTACTCATAATCCAAAAAAATATATTGTGATGATTAAACCACCTTGAGAGTGAATGGTGTAATGCTGTACAAAGCCAAGATTGACATCAAGTCTCGTAAGGGGGAAACGGGGTAAATACTGCCAGGCAATGATAAGCAGGAAGGAGATGAAGTTCCTGTAGTGTATCAAGTATGACAAAGGAAGTCTTGAGAGAGGGGGCGGGGGGCTCTGGCCTCAACTGATGACTAAATGGGTTGTAAAAAAAGCTCTCTCCCGGATCACGTTCTTGATTATTAGTGAGTGGATCAGCAACACTGTTATTCAACCTGGTACCTCTTAATTTATCCATCTCTACATGAGGTCTCAGGTTGAACAGGTATGGCTAAAAAACAAAAAAAAAAAAAAACACCTTTATCAAACACTCCTCAACTACAGTACTCTAAATCATAATAACCAAAAACAAAATAAAACAGAGGAGATCTTTTATAAATATCCATGACAATATTTTACCTCAATAACATTATATAATTATGATGAAAAGTGAAATCGAGTTAGCTGATCCCTCATGAGTGATAACAGAGGGGTTATCATGGCTCTATATGTAATGAGTAATAACAGTAATAACAGAGGGGTTATCATGGCTCTGTTATGGAGGTAATAATGTGTAATACTCATCCAGGAGATGTACCAATGGGTCCTGGAAAAGAAAATCAAGATGGATTGTCAAACTGATGTGTCAATTCTGCCTGATAGTGTGTGTGTGTGTGTGTGTGTGTGTACAGTAAGTGTTAATAAGACTAGTATCACCTGAAGATAAGCCCCATTAAACTTATTTCACCTTAAGATTAACCACTGTATTGCTTACACACACACACACACACACACGCTCACACACACACACATACACACACACACACACACACACACACACACACACACACACACACACACACACACACACACACACAAACATCTTTGACCACCGAAGGGTCAAGACGTACCTGGCATTCCTCTGGGAGCAGCCAGGTCAACTGTTAAGTTGGCCCATACCAACTCCCTCCCATGAACCCCTCCTCCCCACCAGAATATCAACAAGTTCTCGCCAGAAGTTACAATTTCATTTAGGAAAGGAATGGAACCAGTGTTGAACAGAAGTGAACAGTGGTGAACAGTGCTTAAGTCAGTGAGAACAACTCAACAATAACAGCCGAGTCATACAGTGAGGTCACAGGTACCCAGTGATAACTGCCCGTGAGACCCAACAACAACCAGCGATGTGTTAATCCGTCTACGATAGGAAAGCCTGGGACCACACCTCATGCATATAACACCATCTGTAAGGGAATTATTACACCAAGTCAAGCCCCTCCTAAAACCATCTGTGAGGGAATTACTACACCACGTGATGCCCCTCATAACACCATCTGTGAGGGAGTTACTACACCACGTGAGGTCCCTCATAACACCATCTGTGAGGGAATTACTACACCATGTCAGGCCCCTCATAACACCATCTGTGAGGGAATTATTTCACCACGTGAGGTCCTTCATAACACCATCTGTGAGGGAATTACTTCACCACATGAGGTCCCTCCTAACACCATCTGGGAGGGAGTTACTACACCACGTGAGGTCCCTCCTAACACCATCTGTGAGGAGTTACTACACCACGTGAGGTCCTTCATAACACCATCTGGGAGGGAGTTGCACCACGTGAGGTCTCTCTCATAACACCATCTGGCGAGGGAGTTACTACACCACGTGAGGTCCCTCCTAACACCATCTGGGAGGAGTTACTACACCACGTGAGGTCCCTCCTAACACCATCTGGGAGGAGTTACTACACCATGTGAGGTCCCTCCTAACACCATCTGTGAGGGAATTACTACACCACATCAGGTTCTTCATAACACCATCTGGAAGGGAGTTACTACACCACGTGAGGTCCCTCCTAACACCATCTGGGAGGGAGTTACTACACCATGTGAGGTCCTTCTTAACACCATCTGGGAGGGAGTTACTACACCACGTGAGGTCCCTCCTAACACCATCTGTGAGGGAGTTACTACACCACATGAGGCCCCTCATAACACCATCTGTGAGGGAATTACTACACCACTTGAGGCCCCTCATAACACCATCTGTGAGGGAATTACTTCACCACGTGAGGTCCTTCATAACGCCATCTGGGAGAGAGTTACTACACCACGTCAGGTCCTTCATAACACCATCTGGGAGGGAGTTACTACACTACGTGTTTGCTGTTCAACACCTACATTAATCTGTATGTTCACTGTATGTTCCTTCACCTTTCTCTAATGAAGTCATTTATGTTCAAAGTATATTTTCAGCCTTCGGGCTGCAGAACTTTTTCAATAAACCGTAAATTATTATTATCACGCACACACACACACACACACACACACACACACCAGGGGGCAGGTAAACAACAATATTAGCACTCTGCCATGAATCAGAATATAATAAATTAATAACTCTCAGGTAAACTTAATTAGGGGAATAGCCATTAAAAATACATCTGCATTACAGTTACAAAATAGATCTTCGTTCACATAAATACAGTAGCTGTATTTGTCAGGACAGAGGCAATAAATCTGATGGATAAATATTACAAAATATACAGAATCTTCAAAAAACACACAGAAGTTATAATATGAATTTCTTTGTCAAAATCCTTCAATATATAGGTTATAAGTTTATCTTTTCACAACTTACAACCTCAGGTAATTATAAGTATTTCTTTTTCTACAACACAAGAGAGAGGTTAGTTTAGCTTACCTCAGCTAGGGTGGAGACCATGAGCCTCGAGCGGACGTATATGTAGAAGATGTCATTCTCCACTAATGGTCCGACGACACAGTGGATCCTCGTGCACTTTGTTGGCCCACAGTCAGTCGACTAGTTGTATATATGTAAACAAACAACAATTATGATTTTTCTGTTAACTGTGAACTATAAAATAACAATTCATAACTCTCATGTTAACTGTGAACTACAACCAATTTATAACTTTGGTGTTAACTGTGATTTACAAATAATAATAACTTTTGTGTTAACTCTGAACTCTAATATAACAATTATAACTCTTGTGTTAACTATAAAATAATAATCATAAATTTGGGGTTAACTGTGAACTACAAACAGCTTCCTATGAACATTAATTAAACAGGTGATGAACTCAGAAGAACAAACTCTGCATTCTATTTATGCGAGGGACAAAGTATCAGTGTTGAGTTCTGTAAGGATTTCTAAAGGGGTATTACAGTACTATGGGTTTAGTCACGCTATAATACTGCTTAGTGAATCCTCTATTGTGTGTGTGTGTGTGTGTGTGTGTGTGTGTGAGAGAGAGAGAAGGTGACTCCATATATATTGATGTTTATTTAATACAGTATAGGAATATTTACTTGAGACAAATTTATACACTAGAAACACTATTTAATATCTTAACGAAAGAAAAATTCACATAAACCCGAATTATCAATGTTCTTATTAGTTATCTTTGTGTGAGTTTTGAGTGATTGACTGTGGTAACTGGTACAGAGTGACTGGTCAATGTCAGTCCAGCTTACCTCAGTGTCCCAGTTGATTGGTCCATCAGCCTGTCTTTTATCTCTCTTGGCGAGATCATTTTCTCCCGAGGAATAACTGGAGGAATCTGAAGAGGAACTGTATCTTTTTCTACCTGAGGAGGAGGAAGAAGAAGAGGAAGAGGAGGAATGGGTGTATGATGTAGATGATGAGGAAGAAGAAGAGGAGGAAGAGTGTGATGAGTTGCCACCATCAGTAGAGTAATATGTTGAGCCTGATGATTCCTCATAGTATAGTGACCCTTCTCCTCCTCCTCCCCCACCAGTAGCAGTAACAGCACCTTCCCCTGAACTCGTCACCCCTCCTGAGTAGCTCTCCCTTGTCTGAGACCCCCGCACCTCCTTCTTCTCACCCCGAAGCTTCAATAGTTCAACGTTCATCTCCTTTTCTGTCAGCTGGGGACGAGAAGAGGTATAGAAATAATGTTGACTTGGAATAAACATAAACATTTTGTATTTTCTTAAGTTAATTTCATGACTTCGATTAACATTAATTCATATATGAGTTATTTCTCCAAATGTTTTTCACTCACTGCACCTAACCTCCCTCACCTCCATCAACACCCTCCCCTCATCTTCACCAGTAACACCCCCCTCCCCCAACTACCCACCCCCCTCTTCTCCATCAATACCTCCCTCATCTCCACCTCTCCCCCCCCCTCTCCATTCTGCAACGCCCTCATCTCTGCTAACATCACTGTCCTACAAGTGGCACCCCCCTCCTAACTGCCCCCTCATCTCCACCAATCCCCCCTCATCTCCACCAACACCTTGATACACTCACCACAAGATTGAGGGGGTTGACAGAGGGAACATGGGTGCACTTGATGGGACCAGTGACGTGGGGCTGTTCTAGTAGATATAACAGGTAGTTGTCTGGAAAAAAGAATAATGTGTTAATGGCTGGGTTAGGTTAGTTTAATTTAGGTTACATTAGTGTTGGGTTGGGTTGGGTTGGGTTGGGTTGGGTTGGGTTGGGTTGGGTTGGGTTGGGTTGGGTTGGGTTGGAGTTGGGTTGGGTTGGGTTGGAGTTGGGTTGGGTTGGTTTGGGATTGGGTTGGGTTAGGTTGGGTTGGGTTGGAGTTACTTGGGTTGGGTTGGGTTGGGTTGGGTTGGGTTGGGTTGGGTTGGGTTGGGTTGGGTTGGGTTGGGTTAGCGTTGTGTTGAGTTGGGTTAGGTTAGGTTGTTTAATCATCAGGTAAATTAAACTGGGGTGTCTATATACAGGTGATTGCTAAGGTAGTACAATACACTGGCTGACTTAATTCCGCTTAAATGTTTTATTTCTTTAACAAGTGCCAAACTGAACTACCTAACAATCAACATATACATAAACATACATAACACATAAACATACATGAAACATAAACCAACATCATACATACACCAACATGACACATAAAACATCACACATAAACCAACATCACACGTAAAACAACACATATAAACCAACGTGACACATAAACCAACATGACACATAAACCAACATGACACATAAACCCCTTCTGACTCGCCATTCAGTGTCTTGGTGGGCCAGAGGATGACTAACTCCGTCTCCAAGATCTCCGAGGGGCCGTTGTTGGAGATACCGTACTTGTGCATGACCTCCGGGCCAAGATGGTGCTCATGGGTGAGGCCTTCAGAGCGATACAAAGTCCTGTTGTACTCGATGTTCTCAGGTGCTGACGATCTGCAGGTAAACAGTGAGTCTTAGGTTATGCTGACATGGTGCTGACGATCTGCAGGTAAACAGTGAGTCTTAGGTTATGCTGACATGGTGCTGACGATCTGCAGGTAAACAGTGGGTCTTAGGTTATGTTGACATGGTGCTGACGATCTGCAGGTAAACGGTGGGGTCTTAGGTTATGTTGACATGGTGCTGACGATCTGCAGGTAAACAGTGAGTCTTAGGTTATGCTGACATGGTGCTGACGATCTGCAGGTAAACAGTGAGTCTTAGGTTATGCTGACATGGTGCTGACGATCTGCAGGTAAACAGTGGGTCTTAGGTTATGTTGACATGGTGCTGACGATATAAGGTTATACTGACAAGGTGCTGACGATCTGCAGGTAAACAGTGGGTATTAGGTTATGCTGACATGGTGCTGACGATCTGTAAACACTGTCGGTTATGCTGACATGATGATGATGATATTATGCTGACAAAGAGATGATGATTAGTAGGTTCTCTGACTAGGAGCTGACAATGTTAAGTTATACTGATCAAGAGCTGACGATATAAGGTTATAACAAAAGCTGACAATATAATTTGTGCTGGCGATCTAACTTAACCCATATCAGAACCAACCAACAAAACACCGACCCCACAAACACCACCAACACCCACCAAACACTACCAACGCACACCAAAACCACCAACCCCCACCAAACACCACCGACACCCACCAACACCACCGACCCCACCAAACACCCACC